ATCTATCTATCTATCTATCTATCTATCTATCTATCTATCTATCTATCTATCTATCTATCTATCTATCTATCTATCTATCTATCTATCTATCTATCTTTGATGTCAGTCCTGGGGCTTGAACTCAGGGCCTGGGTGCTGTTTCTGAGCTTTTTAGCTCAAGGATAGCCCTCTACGATTTGAGACATAACTCTACTTCCAGTTTTTTGGTGGCTAATTGGAAATACCAGTCTCATGGACTCTCCTGCCTGTGCTGGCTTTGGACCACAATCCTCAGATCTCAGCCTCCTGAGTAGGTAGAATTATAGGTATGAGCACCAGCACCCAGCCATCATGGTTTTGAATGCAGAACTTTGCCCTTCCTCAGTTTCCTTGTTCAGCTGGTGCTCTACCACTTGAGTCACATCTCCAGCTCAGGATTTTTATTATTGTTTTGGAAATGGAGTCTTTCAGACTTTTCTGCTTACAGCTGACATATAATTGCTCTTCTCTAGATTTCTGAGTAACTAGGATTACAGGTGTGAGCCACAAGTGCCTGCCTATGAGTACTACTTTAATAGATTCTATCCAAAAATACTTTCAATATGTAAAGTGGTTGTTTTGATTTGATATAAGAAAGGCTTTAATTTTCTGCAAATTCTTTACATGTGATCTTAATTTTTCTTATATTTTATAATCATAAATTTCTTATGTTGATCTTTAAATAAACTCCTGGGCAGCCAGGACTACAGGTGTGAGGCTCCAGCACTAGAATTTTGAATCCATGCATGAAAGAAGCTTGTGAGGAAAGCTAACACTGAGGCTGGATGCAAGGTTGTGCACTGATTTCTTCATTTTGGCTCTACCAATACGGAGTAGGGTAAATAAAGATCATTTTCTAATGATTGACTGTAGTCAACCTCACAAAGAGAGTTACACATAGGACATTTTCCCCCCATATACACTCTCCTTTTTCTGTCTTTCTTTCTTTTTCTCTTTTTTTTTTTTTTGGCCAGCCCTGCAGCTTAAACTCAGGGTCTGAGTGCTGTCCCTGGATTTTTTTCTTCTTCTTCTTTTTCAAGGTTAGTGCTGTACCACCTGAACTACAGCTCCACTTCTGGGTTTTCTGGTAGCTTATTGGAGAGTAAGAGTCTCACAGACTTTCCTGTGTGGTCTGGCTTTGAACCATGATCCTCAGATCTTAGCCTCCAGAATTGCTAGGATGATATGTGTAAACCACTGGCCTCAGGCCTAAGGACTCTTGCTCCCACATAAGAAATACCAGCCACTTGAAGTACAAATGGATATGCAAATGTTTGCACAGGGCATCTCACTTCAGAACTAAGTGATGCCCCAATGAAGCCAAGCATCGTCTTATCTTGATGGAGAGTGGAAGGCTGAGAAGCAGAGGGTAATAATCAAGAGATGCTTTCCAGGAGAGGAATAATTACCATACTGGCATTTAAGGAATCAAAGTGATAGGATTGCACGGAGTTGGGGGAATGATGTTGTACATGAGTACTCTGAAAAATACTAAGAAATAAGAATGGGATGGAACGGAGGGAAGTGGAGAAGAATGAAGGAAGGGGTGATGATACTGATCAAGATACGCCATACTTGTAACCTGACAGATAGAACTGTGACCCCTTTGTATAACGACTTAATCATTAAAAAACTGAAAAATTAGGGACAAAAGAGAATGAGTAGTACGTGCTGAGAAATATGGAATATGGTGACCTCTGTGAGGGCAGGGTCTGACAGCTTCTATAGGTGATGAGGAGCCAAAGGTTTTGGTGGCAGAAGAGTGAAGAAGGCCCTAGCAATTTGGGTCAGAAATGCTTGACTTACTGGGCAACAGGAGCTACTTAGGAGGCTGAAATTTGAGGATTGAAGCCAGCCCAGGCAGCAAAGTGCATGAGGCTCTTATCTCTAATCAGCTGCCAAAAAATTGGAAGTGGAGATGTGGTTCATGTGGTAGAGTGCTAGCATTGAGTAAAACAGCTAAGGGACAGCACTCAGGCGCTGAGTTCAAGCCCCAGGACTGACACAAGGAAGGAAGGAAGGAAGGAAGGAAGGCAGGCAGGCAGGCAGGCAGGCAGGCAGGCAGGCAGGGAGGGAGTGGAGGGAGGGAGAAAAGAAAGAAAAAAGAGGAACAAGAGAAAAAAGGAAGAAAGAAAGAGAAAGGCTCTATTTAAAATTCTAGATATGCTACATACTAATTGGTGGGGCCTCAGAGCCCTGCAGGAGCCAAGGGCAGGTTCAGGAAGTGTGGACTGTATGGTGTGTGCTGAGATACTGGCTGCCATCGGAACCATGATGGCAGCCACACACTCCTGGTGCATGTCTGCATTATCCTGTGTGCAAGTGAAAATGGCAGAAGCCACAGGATTCTGTATGCCTGGCCTTTCTGAGATGGAACAAGTGCTGCTTCTTTAGTGTCCCTAATCTTTACTGCATGCTGAAATCCTGTCATCTACCTCCTATTATTTCATCTAGAGACCACAACCACTCCAAGCTAACAGGTACTCTCTTGCCCTGAGGATGGCCAGTGGCTCACCCCTGTAATCTTTGCTATTCAGGAGGCTAAGATCTGAGGACTGAGATTCAAGGGTCAACCTGGGAGAAAAGTCCATGAGACTCTTTAACTACCAAAAATAAAATAAAAATAAAAGCCAGAAGTGGAGCCATGGCTCAGATGGTGGAGTACTAGCCTTGAGCAAAAATAGCTCAGGAATAGCACCCAATCCCTGAGTTCAAGCCCCAGGAACGGCACTAAGGAAAAAAAAAACTGAAGTAAAACAAAAACAAACAACAAAAACAAACCCTCTCTTTGTCTCTCTTGCCAATGAATGTATGTCTAGAAGAATCCGTCTTCCATCATTATGGTATCTGCTCGATGGAATTACCACTAATTCTCAAGCACACAGCAATTTTTTTTCTTTCTTAAATTGGGGTTTAATTGTAAGTAAAATGGGAATAATAGCTTTGCTGAGTAGGCATCAAGCAATTATAGTGTTTGATATCTAAAAAGTAACTAGGAGGCTAATGAAAATAGTATTTGGAAAACATTTCTGTATCATGAGAACAGGCAATAGGATGGAAAATCCGGGAGGAGAGAGAGAGGTCAATGAGTGAAATGGCGTGGGAGGTGTCGGCTGAGGAAAGGCTTGAATTCAGGGATATACTAAGAATTAAGAATCAAGAAGACATTGAGGGGGGAAAACCCACTTCAAATAAACAACTGGTTGCTATGGTGACAGAGTCACCACTTAGCACTCACACTGTAGCCTGCCTTCTCCATTTCCTCGAGGGTAAGGAAACAGATTTTTTTTTTCACACTGTGAACAGGGGACGTGTTACTGGATCAAAATAAGCTTCTTTACAAACTCACTCATCTTTTGTCCACTTTCTCCCCAAAATAAAGCTACGGGATTCAGACATCTGTGCAAGGTTTATTTCTCCCAGACCCCTCCCTACCCCTCAGTCACTTGAGAAAATAATGGAATATAATCATGAGCAGTCAATCCACTTGCTAGTCCTTGACCTCAGCATATGTGGTATAAGATGAGGGCATTCAAGTTCCGAGGCTGGAAGCTCACACCTGTAATCCTTGCTACTCAGGAGGCTGAGATCTGACAGTCCAGATAGGAAAGTCCATGAGACTCTTAGCTCCAATTAGCCACCAAAAAGCTGGAAGTGGAGATGTGGTTCAAGTGGTAGAACACTTGTTGTGAGCAGAAAAAGCTGAGGGAGAGCACTGAGACGCTGAGTTCAATCCCCAGAACCAGCATACATACACACACACACACACACACACACACACACACACACACACACACCCTTCACATTTGTTTGTCATCGTGCTGGTAGAAGCTCATAGAAAAGGCTGCAAAAGAACAGTTGGTGCTAACAGATGGATGAAAAATGGTCACAAGAAACAGCTTTCACTTCATCTTGCAGAAAATATGCTGGATGAGGAAGGTTCTAATCGGCCAGGCAGAATACAGGGACTGATCTAGTTGGGGAATAATGAGAAGGTGCTAGAAGCTACTGTGTGCAATGGCTTTTACATTGCACTTGCTTCTGATAAAGAGCTTAACAGATTTTCTGATATGCACTAGGTACCTAAGTCTCATAAAGTCCTCACTGCTCCACAGGACAAGATGCTCTTAACATTTCAGTCTCTATCTGGGCATCAGTGGCGCACACCTATAATTCTAGCTAATCAGGAGACTGAGATCTGAGGGCCAATGTTAGAAGTCAGTGGGGGCAAGAAACTCTTATCTCTTCCAAAGAGAAAAATCTGTAACATTATTTTTATCTCCAATTAGCCAGCAAAAAAACAGAAGCAGAGGTGTGGCTCAAGTGGTAGAGAGCTAGCCTTCAAGTGTTAGGCCCTGAGTTCAAGCCTCAGTACCAGCACACACACACAGACACACAGGTACATACACACATACATATTTTGGTCTCTAAAGCTTGCTACTTTTGTAATAAAAATTTCTTGTTATATTCCCACAACCCCAGAATTATGAGTCCAGCCTTGTTAAAAAACTTGGCAATCTCTAAATTTTCAATCATTCATTAATATGCTTATGTACTATATATGTGTAAACATGTGTACAACATATGTGTATATATGTATATATAGGTGTATATGTTAGTATGATTATGTACTATATACATATATGTATATATATATTATACATACATATATATGTATAGTTATATATAGTATATATACTATAGCATATATGTAATATGTATATATGTATACATACACACACACACACATATATACACACACACACCCATAATGTTTGTAGACACTGTCTCTTTTTCTATCACCAGGGGAACACTGGTGACCAAGAACAGCTTTTTCTCCTAGGTGTTATAATTGATTTTGGACACATGACCTCACCTCTTGGGATATCACACAGTGAAGCAGAGGTAAAACACAGAAGTAAAACCAGAGGTCTGCCTAACTTTAAAAATTATTTTTTTCTCTAGCCAAATGCTGGGGCTTATGCCTGTCATCTTAGCTATTTGTGAGGCTGAGATCTGAGGAGGCTGGTTTGAAACCAGCCCAGGCAGGAAAGTCATGGCACTTTTATTTCCAATTAACAGGCAAAAGCTCAGGAACAATGCCCTGAGTTCATTCAGGCCCCAGGATGGGTGCTCACACGTGTGTGTGCACATGCGTGTGCACACATGTGCGCACACAAACACACATGCATGCACAGACAGACAAGATATATGTTCTCCTAGATTCATTGTGATAATTGCTTCTTAGCAGAATTTTTGGAAGTAGGGATAGTGATGAAAAGTATCTGGTTCTTCCCACAAAGATCTATGTTTCTGATGTGGTGATAAAAAATCTAAACATTAAGGCAAAGAAAAGAAATTACGTCAGTAAGAACAGCATCTACAAAGGCTGCAGGATATACAGGAAACACTGGCTCTGGCAAAGGTGGAACACAGTCACTGTGGCAACACAGTGGCTTTATTTAATCAAACCCTTCGCCAGGAAGACTTAACCAGATCACCTCTTAATAGTCTCTGCAGTCAGTATGGGTTCCATTTCCTTGGATAGAAATCACCTAGAAGGGTTGCAGTTAGATTTAAGAGGGATAAGATGCAAAGATAATACAAAATTATGAGCCTGGTTTGTAGCCTGACACATAATACTTGCTAGAAAAAATAATTTTTCTCTTGCTCATAAGTTGTGGTAGGTCAGTGACTGACAAGTTTAGAGCTCTAGAAAGAGTTCAATGCATGAATAAGTCATAAAAACATCAAGCCATCGGGCATTCATGGCTCACACCTGGATACTCAGGAGGCTGAGATCTGAGGATCACAGTTTGAAGTCCACCTAGGCAGGAAAGTCCATGAGGCCCTTATCTCCCAATTAACCACCAAAAATCTGAAAGTGAAGCTGTGGTTCAAGTAGTAGAGTGCTATCCTTGAGCATAAAAGCTCATGGGCAGTGCCCAGGCCCTAAGTTTTAGGTCCATAACTGGGACACACACACCCACACCCACACACCCACACACCCACACCCACATACCCACACACCCACACACATACACACACACACAAAAACCTCAGGCCAGGCCATGACTTTGGACACAGCAGGGCACTTACTGCTTGTAGATGTGAATACTACACAACAGCCACAGAACACCTGAGCAGAAAAACTTCTTAGGGGCTGCTGGCATGGTCTTTGTCAGTGAAATCCCCTACATGTGTCAAAGAGCTGCCCATATAGAATCGCCGTAAGCATATAATAACTTATAGAAGTTTTGAGTGAATTAAGAAAAATACATTGACAGTGGAGGATATAGTCACTAGCTAAAAAGACTTCCTCCCTACAGAATTGGGGAAGAGCTTTGCCAGACAAGGGTCTAATATCCAGAGTATATACAGAGCTCAAAAGCTGAATCCCCAAGGACTCAAAAAACCCAATTTTAATTAATTAAATTAAACAATAAATACAAATTTAAAAATAAATTAAAAATACACAATTCACAAACAGAAAAAGGAGCTAAATATAGATTTCCTAACAGAAGTAAAAATAACCAATAAAAACATGAAGGAATGTTCAACATCTCAATCCATAAGGGATATGTAAATTAAAATAATACTGAGATTCTATCTCACCCCAGTAAGATTGGCTATCATCAAGAATACAAACAACAGCGGGGCACCAGTGGCTCATGCCTGTAATCCTAGCTACTCAGGAGGCTGAGATCTGAGGATCACAGTTCAAAGCCAGTCTGGGCAGAAAAGTCTGTGAGACTCTTATCTCTAATCAACTACTAGAAAACCAGAAATGGACCTGTGGCTCAAGTGGTAGAGTGCTTGCCTTGAGCTGAGGAGCACAGGGACAGCATCCAAGCACAGAGTTCAAGCGCCATGACTGACAAAAAGAAAAAGAAAAAAAGAATACAAACAACAAATAATGGTGAGGGTGTGGGAAGAAAGGAACTCTAGTGTACTGTTGCTAAAGTTGTAAACTAGTGCAACCACTATGGAAGTCAATTTGGAGATTACTCAAAAAAAAAAAGCAACATAGAAATACCCTGTATAACCCAGAAATACCATCCTTGGATATCAATAAAAAATATTAAAAGTCAGGATACAATAAAAAGCACTTGCATATCCAAGTTTGTTGCTGCATTATTCACCATAGCCAAGTTATGGAAACAGCCCAGATGTCCTATAATGTACGAATGAATTAAGCAAATACGACATATACATGCAGTTGTATTCATCCAATAGGAAGACTATTATGACATATGCAGGAAAAAAGATGGACCTGGAAAAAATTATGTTAAGTGAAGTAAGTCAGCTGTGATGAAGGATGCATATGGAAGTTAGATCTAAATTATAAACACATATAAAAACATACAAGGTCATAGGCATATTACGAACAAATTGACGAAACTGTGGTAGACACAGGGGAGGAGTCCAATGGGCTAAATCCTTTGAATAACTTACTTTTTAACAAAATGAATACGAGGAAGCTGAAGTATGTTTTTTTTTTTTTTGGGTCCAGTCGTGGGCCTGAACTCTGGGCCTGGGCGCTGTCCCTCAGCTCTTCAGCTCAAGGCTAGTGCTCTACCACTTGAGCCACAGCACCACTTCT